TGGCGATATCAAACTGACGGAAAATAAGGCTACATTTCAGTTTCTACCATGGTATAACTCTATTTAAATACACTATTTTCAAATGTTCTAGTCACCTACAGCTTGTAGAGAAGCTATGAAGAGTAGCTGGTCCATACATTTGAAAATTAGCCTAATACAGTTATTCTGCTTACAGGTCCAAAACACAAAAGAAAAATTACAGCGTGACAAAATTTGATAGTTATTTTATGCTGCTGTAGGGTTTTAAAATGAAATGTCATGTCTCATAGGAGTCTTTTTTTTAAATTTTATTTGGCTGTAAGGTACCCCTGGATATTTCAAACTCATCTGCTGCTACATATATTGCATAGTTTCAAGGCCTTAAACTGGAAAAGCCATTCTACCGGCTCTTTTTTATAAACCCAACCTAAGCTCCATAATAAATGCAAAAGTTGATGTAACATATGTAGAAAGTAAAGAGAAAGAAAAGTAAAAGGGAAAGAAAATGCAATGCATGTGGGTTGTAAACTTTCCAAAATACACTTAGATAATGCTATGGTCAAAATAAAATTGTAAATGCATGCACGCTATCTCATTTACAGGAATTTCTTGACTATAACAACACACACAAAATTAAATACATAAATATTAATTTTATGTATCACATCACATGAAGGCAATGACAAGGCAATGTTTACATTTATGGGCGACTCATTAGTGTTTTATTGTACAAAACACTAGGAGGCATCAGTTGGGTAAAGAAGAAGTTCATTTAAAAAAAAGGTAAGAAATTACCAAACTGTCATCTAGGAAGTCTGACACTTCCAAATGTTAGTATAGTATATATGTTTAACGTGCAAATACCTGAACAATTATATTCACTTCACAAATTCGACTGTAGTAAAAAATAGCCAATATTTGATCTGCTAATTAATTTTAACTGTACTATTATGTCTACAGATGCAACACAAAGTTCAATTGTATATTATATTTTAAAATATAATGCAATGTTCCTGAATTAAGATAATGTACTTTTTGCTCAGTGTTATAGATTTTTGCTAAAGAGAAGAATGCAGGTGCTTTATGTTGTAAACCCTCTTCTGCCTATACGCTCCTAGTAGGATAAATTATATGAATTTAGTATAGTCTCAGGCAGCTTCAAGAACCATCTAGATGCTGCGGAAGGATGTATCATCTAACCAAAGACCGATTTAAAAAATGCTTCAAACCTACACTACATTTTATGCCTATTAAAAACGTTGAATTAGAAGTGATTTTTGAAGTCACGTGCAGTTGCTACAAGTGGATCATTTTTCTCATGTCAGGTAAAACCAATCATTTCAAAATTGAATTTTCTCTACTTCAAATTGTATTTAACAATGACTTAGCAACAGAGTTATAGTAGCCTTATATAATAATCAATTGAAATTGAAGTGTGCCTTGGCATGCTGCAACAATCAGCTTTTATCTCTGCCCGATCAAAATGACATGTGAACTGCCTAATCCTTCTTTTGTAAGGCACATAAGACTTTGTTGTCACTGTTGGTTTTGTGAATCGCCACTATAAGCTGGTTTGATTTCCTAAAGATGACAGATTCCGGTGAACAGCCAAGCTCTACTGCACTGCAGTCAATGTGAATGTGAGATTAAGGTACAGTACTGAAGACACTAGCTTTTAATCACCTGTCCACATGTAACATATTGACCATCAGCTCTCACAAGATTAGCTCAAATCTGTTGAGAGTAGCGAGACAGCTATATTCATAAAATGTAAAAAGTATGTATTTCAAATCTTTAAATGTTTCACTCATAACTTCAACTGTGTAGGGTGACCAGAGTTGTTCTGTGTCCAGTTTACTTTTGAAATAAGGTGCATCAGTATATAGTTAACCCTTTCAAACACTGTATAAATCTAGTATACTTAAATCTTGGTGCTGAAGTGTTCTAGCCCCTTTCAATGTCATGTTTGCTTTCCCTTAATTTTATCGACATGTCTCCAAATTGCCATAGAACCTAGACTGAAGATGTAGAAAATTCTCTTTCATGTAATATATTGGGATTGAAGACGTTTGAAATGCATCACACAAATAGTTAGGAATATCGCACCATAAATGTTGCAAAAATGAGCATAATAGTTTTTTATTGTAGAACATGTCATATATTTTCGCTTTCATGATCACTATACTCATAACATTAAAATTAATTATTTGAATTTTGGGCAAGTTATCATGTCATTCAGAGGCTATCTCTATGTCCAACAGGTAAAAAAATGGTGTCTATGAATCATAAAACACATGATTATTTCTTCAGGCATCTAACATGAGATCAAGACCTTTTGCTAAATGAGGTACAGAAATGTTCTTTAGTTTATTGTTAGAGATGAATAGTTTAAACTATTTTACAGACCTGCAGAAAAATTAGCCTGTTACAAAAAAAAAAAAGAGTAAAAGAAAGAAAATCTAAACTGGCAAAAATTTAATTTGCAACTCCTACTCAGTTGTTAAACTTCTACGTAGTAATTTAACTATTTCTACCCATTAAAGAAGGACACTAAAATACTCATTTCGAAAGCGCTGAAGAGTGGAGAGCTTGAAAAAGCTCTTCAGAGGTTAATTTCTGGTTATCCACGAGTTACTAAATTTTTTAACACACAAGGCAAAACTTTAGTTTATCGTCAGTTTTCTTTTTTGAAAATATACTTTATATATGCACAAATAAAGGGGCCTCATAAAACAAGTATATTTGTAGCACCAAACACTAAAAAAAAATAAAGCTAAAAAAAATCCTCATACCACTATGACATGAAACAACTTACTAGTAAAAGTATTTATCTGATTGTCTTTAAGGTACTCCTAAATTAACAATCCAGATACTTTTAAAGATTGTATTTCATAGACTGTTCATCATTTATTCTAGCTAAAAGGATTATTTATAACTTGAATGGCCTTTTTCTTGGTTAAACAGGCTAGAGAGAAAAGCTAAGAGCACATTGGATAATATGTTAAAACTGTACTCATCTATAAGGAAAGTTAAAAGACATATAACCTAAGAACCTGCTAGGCAAATATTTGAGTCAATAACTTCTTCTATGAGCCAGATCCTGCAAAATGATACCCACGTGAGTTGTCTATCCTCACACAAGTAATCCCATTCTTGTCAACAAGACTTGTGTAAGGACTACTTGCACAAATGGCTTGCACACTCAGGCCTTAGATTTGTCCTTCAGATACTGTCCACATGAAGTTTAACAAGAATATGTAAGTGTGTGAGATTTAAAAAACAAAACCAGATGTACTGTAGGGCTATGGACACATGAAACTTAAGGCCAAACTCTGAAGTGCCTGCTTAGTCATATTTTCTAATGCCTTTGACTGAAGTTAAGAGAAAGCAGGGACCTTAGCATTCAGACCCAACATGAATTTCTTATTCAGTAGAAATAGGGAAAAAAATCATATGTGATATCAATTACATGTTGATTAAAAGATGCTGTGAAAAGCAAGAAACACTGTGGGGGTTTTTGTGTCAATACTATGTTCTTATCACTTAACAAAAATCATTTTTAAAAATGAGAAATTTCTGAAGTGGCCAATTGCACAAATGTTTTTACCAGAAATTAGTCTGTAATACAGAGGTTAAGACTAGTTCACAGGTGGTTATATTTCCATGCCCTGCCAAGCCTGTAGGGATTAGAGTTATTATACTCCATATAAACATCTTTACTCTATAACCACAATAGCCTTCAAAGGGCCAGCAAAAAAGAAACCTAGTCACATTTTTGTCTAACATAACTTATCTGCTGACGATCTTTACAGCCTTTAAAAAAATCTATGAAATTAGAATATCTTCTAAAACAATCTCCGTTAAAATAATCATCAGATATATGCTATGAAAATGCATTTTGTATAGGGGAAATTCTCCACAGTTCATGAGTAAAAACAGGCAAAGTGCTTTTCTCTGCATAATTTTCGTAAGTCTGAGTCCTACAGCATTTATCATGGTATTTTATTTTAAAAGACAGGTACTTGCCAATCATGACCATCATGTGCAAAGGACAAGAATAAAACACATCCTTTAGAAAAAGATAATTACAGGATCCTAATGTGATAGAAATCATTCAGACAAAGTTTTGCTTTGCCCCGTTATTTACCCTTTTTGTGAAACAGAAGTATTACTGCAATTTTATTGTTATATTTTTCAAGCTGACATGCTGTCTATAAATCATATAGAAAGTATAAGTTATATAATGCACCAGTAGTGTCTCTGAATGCCCTATTTACACTCAACTTTGCCTTAGACCTAAAGTAACTCTAACTGAAAGCAAAATAGCCAGTTTTCTACAGGTAATCGGTCTTACTGCTTCCCTAACTGCAATTAGAAAAATATTGAGAAGTCTATGTAAAGATCAAAACTTACACCCAAACAGAAGGGTTCATTATAATGTAAGGAGCTTTTCCATCTCAAACTTAAGTGTGCATATGAGAAATGCACAAAGGTACACTCTTGCAAGTATACTTCATCCAAAACTGCAGGCAAAAAGTGAAAAGAGCACTGACATACACAGAATAAGTTTAGAAGTGCTCTGCTCCTATGCTAAGCTGAAACTTTCTTCAGTGAACCGTTTGATGAACCTGGGTGCAAGTACTACAAGGGTCATAACATCTGGTTGAACTATTAAAACCAACAAGCTGCACACACTTCCGATTATTAAGCGTACTAATGATGTGAACTAACTTCATGAAACTTTAAACGCTCACGACACTGATACAGACAAATCTGTAGCAATCTGAATAACTAGGGATTGAACTATATTATTTCACTGAAAAGTTACTTTTAAGCCACCTGATCATGAAATCAAAAATTTAAAAATTATACAACCCAACCTTACTATACAACCCAACCTTACTCCCAGTCCCCATACTCTGATTGCAACCTACTTCCAAATGCAATAGGATGTGTATATGGGGCTCTTACACAATCCCCACTCTCACTGTATTGCCATTCTGAATTTCGCATGTACTTACATCACACACATTTAGATGATCAGACTAGTCCTTGAGATATTTTCCTTTTTCAGGAAAAAGAAAAAAAAAATCCCTTTACTTCTTCCAGCCTTTAAATGTTCACCACCTGGTTCAACATGCAGCCTCCTTGTGAACCACACACACAACCTTCAAAGGCAATCCAATAGCAGCCAGAAGATGTCTGGTGCGTGTATGTGTGTGGGGTGCATGTGTGTGTGTGTGTGTGTGTGTGTGTGTGTGCGCGCGCGCGCGCAGCGTGGAGGAGAAAGTGGCCGTGCTGTTGGCCGGATTAAAAGTAACCGGACTCGTCCTGAAAGCGTCCAGGAAGGAAGTGACAGAAGGCGAATGGGAAAAGGAGAGCAGCTCACAGCCTTTGTAACATCGCGGAGGTGGGGTGGGGGGTAGGGGGAGGAAGAGGCTAGAAAGGGATTCAAAACTACACGCCTGATGAGGTGTCCTTTTCTGCCTCCCTTCTCTTCTTCTCTCTGTCTCTTTCTCTCTCTCCCACAATCCCAAACGAATGCCTCTCTCCTCTCGCGCTGGAGAAATAATCAGTTTCACTCTTGCAAAAAGGGGGCGGGCTCAGATCCCGAAAGCGTTTTAATAAAACAAACACAGAGCAGCCGCCGCGGCAGCCGCTCCGCTCCTTGCCCCTCTCGTCTAAACTAGATTGATAAATTACTGCACTACACTACTTTAATTATGTATATGGTATGCAGAATAAATCACGGAACATCAGCACCTCAATCAAGCACTTTTTAAATGATAATTGCATCTTGGGTGAATCAATCTTTCCATTCCTGACATTTTGCTAATTTTAGTTTTACGGTGGGGGTAATGGCATATGCCACACGCAAACCTAATGACAATCCTTTATTATACAAAATTAAGAAAACACGGCGCGCTTGGCGCAGATTTCCCCTCCGCCTGGGGAGGTACAGTAGCGAGGGGGCACGGGATCATCGCAGAAACACACTCAGGCGGCTGAGGAACAAGCACAGCAAAGCCTGAACATCTTGGGATTGTTCTCGTAAAATAAGGCAGGGCGGGCTGTGTCCTCCAGTGAGGCAGCCAGCCTGCACGGGCTGGATGCAAAGAGTTACCGGGGAAGGGGCTACTACAGACCTGAAGTGCTACCCCCCCCATATAGTCGTGACCCCCCACGCCCCGTCCCGTCCCCAGCATCTGCTCCACAAGGACCACGCAGAAGCCGGAGAGAGGGACCCAAATGAATCAGGGGATGTCAGCAGTGATCACAGGAGAAGCAACTGAAAGGGGCGCTGTGCAAGTCTCTGCAGCTTCACAGTCATCATCCTCCTTTCAGTCACTAGAGGCTGCCAGGCCAACTTTTTAATCAGTTTGGAAACGTTTCCAACCCGTATCAGCAAAGCAGGCGCGTGTATTTTTAGCCCCCCGTGACATTTCCTACCCCATCTCTTTGCACCTTCATTGGCCGCTCTCTTCGGAGCTCGCAGTCTGTAAACCAACCCAAACTTCCCAAAGTCATTAGGCTTCCGGATCCAATTGCTGGTGACTTCACTTACCCGAGCTGTTTCAGCTGCACAGGAAGCAGGCACGGGGAGAGAAGAAAAACAATCGTGATGCTGAAGTTTGGGGGAATGCAAACAAACAGCCTCCCTTAGCAAACAAGGCTGCTGGTTAGATAAAACACTGTTTGCTTCATTGCACAGGTTCAAATCATAGCCTGCTGTCTAAGATGCTCTCTCTTCAGACGTTTCCCCAGAAATGTGTAGTCTTCCCATAACTATAGAAGACAGAACCTGTTTTTTATATATATACAAGTTCACTTGCTTTTATAACCAAGACTGAAAAAGGTGTGCTGTATGCAATCTGGAGTCCAAATTAAGCACATATAATAATTTGTGAGTAAAATTATATTTTGAGGATACTTGTTTTAACTTTTTATGTAGGTAGTCACAATACTTTTGAGTGCAGCAACACTGCAATAAATACGGAGGGCACATTATAAAATCAAAGGAGTGAATTAAAACAACAATCAGTTAGATTTCAGTTTATTATACTGTCTTTTCAAGTATAAATGTCCCATAGGGCCTCTGACCTACTTCTAAAATTACAGTTCAGACAATTAATAAATATCTAAGTTAATTGTATAGTCTAGGGCAAGGATCCTCAAGCATGGCCAGAGCAAGCTGGAGTTTAAAGTACAACTCCTGGCTGGTGCCAACCTAGGTACTTAGATGGAACTTAAACACCACCCCAGCATCAGGACTCCATTTTGATCTGAGTTAATCATAGTCCAGCAATGCTATCACCATCTTCACCAAATCACCACCATCAACCTGCCGCACGTAGAGGCCCCATCAGACAGTCGTTGTTCAAACAGTAATTGGCATGTATGTTGGTAGTCTCAGCAGAGGCCACATCCTGACAAAACATGGATGGCAAGCTTCCCTGTCATCCCTAGTGTTCTCACCAGGTTTAGAGTGAGCCCACTAGAGGCAGGCATGGGAAAGTTTGACTGGTCACCTATCTGGCACTTGTTCTATAAATAGGATTTTAGTCTCCCTGCTGTCAATATGGCACTCATCTTTCAAAACAGCAATACCATTAATAGTTCCTTTGCTTTTCTGTCTTTAAATGGAGTACAATATGTTGGGACATGTAGTAGTTTCCAGAATCACACTTTTTCTGAGAATGGTTATAATTTCTTTTATTTTGTATCAGCTGAATGCACCTTACAGGCCCCAGATTAGTTGCCAAAGCAGCCTCTTTGGTTGGCAGGGCAAAGTTCTGGCACTACCTCAGTTCAACGGCAAGAAATCAGACAGCAGTTATCACAGTAAGGCAAACGTTTCACAACCTTACAACTACAGCAGCTTAATATGGCTGCTACATCTTCCACATTTTTAGGCTCTTATGGCCTAATCTTTAAATAGTTGTGACCTTCATATATTAGAGCATCTGTGCCAGGTTTATGTCAGAACACAATTCATCAAAGCCATGTAAAGGACACCTCCATCTTACACCAGGGTGCAACATTAGATTAGCAACTGATAGATCAAGGAATTGAGGGTGAAGGGAATGTTTCCCTATCCATCCAAGGAAATAATGTAACATTATTTGAAATATATAGAATATATGGAATACTTTAAAACAATGGAAAAAAATTGTTCTGCTATCTGTAATGAGTACAGATATGCGTTGCAAATAGCAAATAGTTTGTGGGTAAATCCTCTTTGGATTTCTTCCATGAAGGTCAGACCTGTGATTTCTATTGTAGACTGGTCATGCACAGGCCTGTTGACAACACAATTTTTTCCCTAACCCACCACCTGATACTAACTCCCAAGTCAAACAATAAAAGCACAACAGGAGGTGTGATCATTAGTAAATCAGGTCCCCAGAGCCTTATCAAAGACTGAAGTGCATCCAAGTGACTCTTTCCCTAAGGAGTGCAGTTATCTCCAGGTAAACTTAGCAAACATTCCCTTAAAGATGATTATCAAAGTCCACTGTTAATTTCCTGTGCAAGGTGAACATGTACAGAAAAGGAGCTGTCAGCTTACATCACTTAGTGACATTTAAAGTGGGGAGTGCTAAGGTTGCTTGCTATGAAATGATCCACCTCCTTTACTTCTTAACTCTGGGGTGGCTTAGTTTCTATTTTCTGTTTAGAGTTCTGCCCCACCCCATTCCACCCCTTGCTCTTCTCAACCACATCCCTATCATCTTATATGAGCACTGCACTAAAACACTTCTTCCTATGTCTGTCTGCTTTTAAAGTTGGCCCACGCTGGGTGTAGCTCTTGAAGTGAGCTTTAAAAAATTATTTTAAAGTGAGCTGGGGCGGTTGCCACAGCAACCCACCCTGAGAAGAATCAAGGCTATAGATTAATCTACCCCAAAGATTATTCAACAGTACGGTATTTGTTCTCCACTCATTCAGAATATTCCCTCAATCCATATGCTTTTATAATTGAACATAATGTATAAATTCAGAAAATCTCAAAGATAATGACATATAGATTCCAGGAGCATAATTTAAATGTTTTATAAACCTTAGGAAAGAATTGAGATGTATATAATTTATTGGAAAATTATTTAATTGTAAAAGATATTTGCAAGGTAGGCACGACTGACATAAAATGGCATGCCATTACTAAAATGGTGTTATATACATTAAGTGACGATTACAGAAAGCCTTTTGTCACTGACATACCTGTAAGCACATAATACAGCAGAGTTTGCTCTCAAGGTTTTGATTTAAGCCAAAAAATGAAATAATAACTAGTACTTTATAATATTAAACACAATAAATATTAAACACTTACCACATACTCCTTCTTTATTCTCAAAATCATCTGCCTTCAATGCTTTACTTAATCTGTTCCATAGTAGTTACGTCAGTTTACAATTCTTATTCGGCACCTTAGATTTTTAAAAGCAGAAATGTTGCATATTATTAAACTGCAGGCCTGCAGTAGTGAAGTGAATATGTTTAAAGGAATTTATGAAACAGCATCTACAAAACTTTATATGAATATAATTCTGTTCTTAAGTTTAGGGATCATATCACTTGAAACAATAGACTATGTACTGCATATATGTATTAACCAGTTGTAATAAATTATATCTGAATCTTACAGTGGGTTTGCTGAACTCGGACTGCAATAATTTTCCAATTATTTAAAATATATATTTATGCTTGTGTTTGCTAAAAAAAATTATAGATCAATCACTTAAATAGATGACAATCAAAATGATACCATTAATACTTAAATTAGAATCTAAGGCATGGTATATTAATGAACTTTTTTTTTGTCTTTTAAGAATTCTTGTATGTGTGTAACAGCCATCTCAGAAAGTTTCCATCCAGGCCAACCTCAGCAAAAACTGACTCCAAACAGAACAATCTTCTTAATGAAAGGTCTCATCCTTGCTTGTGAAAATGGGGTCTCTAATCCCAATGCACTATTCAGCAGTGTAAAACAAATGGCCAGGATTACAGCTGTAGACTCTGAATGGTTATTTTGCCTGCATCTCCTATGATAGTTTCCTGATAATATTTTGCCTTTTTATTAGGCTGCTGCTCCTTTTTTTTTTTTTTTTTTTTTAAGATTCATGTTGAATTATTTTTATATTGGAAAATGGCTTGGGAATTCCTGCAGGGCCCAGTGTCTGAGATTTAGAATTGCTCATCAGAAGTAGGAAGCTAATGGACTTCAGTGGTTGAAAGTCAACCTCAGAGACCCAGGGGGATGCAGGGTGGGCTCCACAAAATATCCTTCTCACAGGTAATTCACTCCTTTCTCCTGGGGGTGGGGGGTAGTGTGTGTATGTATGTGTACTGGTCCCTAATTTGGGAAGGCAGGGTGGTTTCCACAAAATATCCCTCACACACTCCTTTCTCCTGGGGGGGTGAGTGTGTGTACACATAGTACACTCCTTTCTCCTGGGGGGGTTTCGTAGTTTCATAGTTTCATAGATTAAGGGTCGGAAGGGACCTAGTAGATCATCTAGCCCAACCCCCCGCCGGGGCGGGAGAACAACAAAA